TTGGGATTTGATTATAGCCTGAATAGGCATCCATGAACGACAGTATTTTGTAACCGGCTGAGTTGTCGACCAGCATATCTATGTTCGGTAAAGGAAAAGCATCCTTCGGGCATGCCTGATTGAGATCAGTATAATCAACACACATTCTCCATTTTCCATTATTCTTTTTGACTAGTACAACATTTGATAGCCAGGTTGAATACCGGGCTTCAGAAATAAAATTTGCCTCTAGGAGGTCTTTTATAGCTTTTTCAGCAGCCTCCGTTTTCTCCGGAGACTGCCTACGCCTACGTTGTACTACTGCCTTAGCGGTTGGGTCTATGGCGAGACGGTGACAGGCGACCTCGGGGTCGAGTCCGGGCATCTCCGCGGCACTCCACGCGAACAAGTCAGCATTCTCGCGCAAGAAGGCTTTGATTTGCTTCCTTGCCAGGTCGGGGAGGTCGGTACCAATCTTCACTCCTTTGCTTGGGTCCTCGCCGAGGGGGACGAGCTCGAAGTCCCCGTTCGGAATTGGTCGGAGGGGGATTTGCTCGCCGTTGGGAGGTTCGACCTGATCGAAATGGGTGTCCAGAGCTATGGAGTCGACCTTTGAGGGAGCTCTCTGCTCTTCTGTTTTGATGGGCTCTGGCTTGTCGGGCTCCTGCCGTGTCGTCGCTGGTCTTTTGGCGGGCCTTGTCCCAGTGTTGACCGTGTCGCGTCCCTTGGATACGGCGTTGAAACACTTTCGAGCAGCAGCCAGGTCCCCCTGGATGGTGGCGACCCACGCCCTCTTGGTGTAGAACTTCATCTTCAAGTGGACGGTGGAAGGTATTGCGGTCAGTTCTGCCAGTGTTGGTCTCCCCAGGATGCAGTTGTAGAGGGACGGGAAGTCGATGACGAGGAAGCGCACCTTGACCTGCCTCGTCGTCGTGTCCTCGCCGAAGGTAACCATGAGCTCGACATATCCCCAAGGTTTGGATGTTTAGCCATTGAAGCCCTGTAAGTCCGACCCCATATACGGCGAGAGGTGCAAGTCGTCTAGCTGCAGAGTCCAGAATAATTGGTTGTACATCACGTCGATGGAACTTCCTTCATCGACGAGGACGCGATGTAAGTCAAAGTTAGTCATTCTTGTTCTTATTAGCAGAGGAATGACCGCGTTGGGGGCTCCTTTGGGGAGCTCTTCGAGGTAAAAGGTGATAGGTTCCGACCTACCTTTCACCCTTTCAAAAGTCACAGTCTGAGGAGGTGCAGAGTCGACCAGTTCGTCCAGCTTCCTCTTGGTCGAATTTATGGTTAGGTCGTTGAATCCTCCACCATTGATGACCATGGCGGAGGGAAACTACTCCCACCTGCTGTGCGTCATGAGCGGCTCCTGCAGGTGTTCGGGGAAGTAGAAGTCCTCCGGTCTGGTGACGGAGAAGGCGGTCTGGATGGGGACCGATTCTTCAGATGGTCGGGCGTCCTCCTCCGGTTCTCTTGTCTCCCGGGCGTCGCGACGAGGAGTGTCGTTTCTCCGGTATTGGGCGAGCCTCCCTCCCTTGATGAGGATTTCGATGGCGTCCTTGAGGTGGACGCAGTATTCAGTCAGATGACCATGGCTCTTATGGTACTGACAATATTTGCTCTTGTCTACTCCAGACTTGGCAGGAGCAGGTCGAGGGCGCTTGACGCCGCCATCTTTGAAATCCGTGATGGCACACTCCGCTAAGATGCGCTCGCGGGAAGCTGTGAGCAGAGTGTATTCTGTGAAACGCCCCGAGGGTCCTCTCTGTTCTCGGACTTCTCGGGGTCTGTCCTCTTTTCTTTTCTCACCGATTCGTCGAGGAGGAGCAGCTTCTTGGCGCGGGTTGCTGCTGGATCCACGAGTTCTGGGGTCCCGGGCTCTGTTGGCCGCCTCCCTTTCCTCGTAATCCATATATGCCCGGGCCTTCTCGAGGAGAGCATCGAATGTTCGGGGTGGTTCGATGCCCACCGCCTTTCTGAATTCTGTGTCGGGGAGGAGCCCCCTCTCCAGCAAGTACCTTTTCATGTGGTCTGCGCAGGGGACCTGTATGGCTTCGCGATTGAAGCGATTGATAAATTCTCTCAAGGTTTCATCCTGTCTCTGGATGATGGCCTCGAGTGCTGCCTCAGTCTTCGGGTGTCGCCGAGACGCAGTGAACGAACTTATGAATTGATTCTTCAGGTTTTGCCACGAGGTGATTGATCCCAGGGCGAGGCCTTTATACCAATCCATTGCTGCCTTTCTGAGGGTCGTGGGAAACAACCGGCAATTGATGGGTCCCCCGACATTATGGTAATGCAGCATAGCCTCGAACCCGTCTATGTGGTCGATTGGGTCCGCGACTTCGTCGTATTCTTTCAGATGTGAAGGCTTCTCCATGCCCGGGGGAATGGGCGCCTCCATGATGGCTTGTGAAAGGGGACCGCGGGGGTCGTCCTCGTCACTTTGCTCTGGGGATAGGGACGGGGACCTGAGATATTGTCGCCCGACGGTCCTGGTCGTGCTGGATACCCCTCGAGCGGGGTGCTCGTTGGTCCACCCCCCGTGCCTGTCTCCAGGGTGTCTTCTTTCTTGCCATATGGGGCCGTGGTTGCGCCCTCTGACTTCAATGACGAGTTGCCTCTCCAAGGGGGGTCGTCTCCCCGACGGTCGGGGCGACGGGCTTCAGGAGGTATCTCTGTATTGTCTCCGCAGGGGAGATGGGAGATGTACCTCTGTTACTCGAGGAGGTGGGGTCTGAGGCCTCCTGTGTCTCCTCGCGGGTCTTCTATCGTCTTCTAGCGCCCTCAATATTTCCCCCTGGGCAAAGATGAGGTAGTTGGTTTGATTGATCGCCGCGAATAGTGCGCGGGTCGTGGCATCTGCCCCGACGGGGACAGGGACTTCCTGAAATTGGGAAGCTGGATAGTTTGGGGGAGCCGTATTGTCTTCTTTGAGTGGCGGAGGGACTGAAAAAGATGAGGCAGTAGCTCCGTCGTGGTGGATCGAGGGCCCGGGGATGGTGCCCCCGGGGAGTGTGCTATGGCCGGGGTTGCCGGCGTTGTCGGGATTTTCGTTTTTATCCGCGAGGTTGTTGTTGACGTCGACGATGCAGACGTTCTGGTCGTCCTGAACTTGGTCAGCCATGACGGTAGGAGGTGATTGGAGCTCTGGTCTTCGAGAGTTTGCAAGACGGGGAAGCTAGTTTCCCACAGACGGTGCCACTGATCGTACCTGATCAGACTTGGACCGTCACGACTGGCTCGGACAGACTTTGAGTGAGATGGGGGGGGGGTACCTGCAAGACACTCCGATGCTAAAATGAGTGACAGAATGAGCAAGCAAAAAAGGTATAGGTGCGTAATAGATGAATACCTGACCCTCTAGGAACAAAGGGTATTTATAGCCCCCAGCGCTGGGCCAAGGTCCCCTCATTGGGCCGACCAAAACTGGCCCAATAAAGGAACTGTCAGGTTCTACGTGTGTAGTGGAGCCCCGCACGTGGTCCCTTTCTTGGTGATGCTCTGCGAAGAATGAGGAGGGACGAAGACGCGGTCTTTCCGAAGCTTAGATGATTCGATAACGGTCAGAGATGACAGAATCTGCCCTATGGGGAGAGTGCTCGAGCAGGACCCGAGCTGGAGTTCCCTTGGTCGGGGACACCATGTGTCGCGGGCAATGGCGGGCATGGCTACAGTCTGTGGTCGGGCACATCGACGGTGATCCGCGGGTGCGCATTCCTCGAGGAGTTTGCTTGGATTGGGCCTTTATCTACGCTTTGGGCCAGGGTGGGCCCAATCCAGAACACATCCAATATGAGTTTTCAGGCAATGGGTGCATTGTACCTTTAAGATTTTATGATTTCCAATTGATGATTGAGTCTATCTATTCTGGAGTTTTTGGTCGGCCTAGAACAAATACCAATTTGGATTAAAAGAGTAGAAGAAAGTGGGACGACAACAATGTTTAGGTAAGAAAGATTTACATTTTTACATTTTTATTTGAGAACCAAGTTTAATCTCCGATCGTAGTTGCGGAGATCGAACTGCAGTCCTTCCCACTAAGTCAAGTGTCAATCACTACTGAACCAATTAACGATTAGTAGTTTAATCCCATATTTTTTTAGTTTTCACCACCAGTATCCGATCTATTGAATATCCTTATAAAAGATCGAATTGTGATTCTCTCTACTAAATAGAATCTCAATCACTACTGAACTAACTAACTATTGATAGTTTAATGCCACTTTAACTCAACATTTTTAACTTGAGTAATTTATTTTCATTTAATTCACTTTACTTTCAATCAATTTCAATCTTTATAACTCAAACTAATATCAAAGTTATTTTTTCAAAACCATCCTTCGTCCATGTAAGATACTTAGTTTGGATTTTCATATCACACTAACTAAACATTTAGATTTGATCAAATCTTTCATTAACCTAAAACCTTCTTAAATATTACCTGAAAAGTTTGGTACAAAATCAATAAAGATGAAACCAAATACATAAGTCTAAAAAGAATAGTGAAAATAACATTTCTCCAAAACATTAATCCTAAGCTCTATTTAAGCTTAGAGACAAGGTGAGAAACGAAACGTACTACAAGTATCAAATTATGAATTGTCCAACTTTTTTTCATAGGGAAAATCCTAAAACAAAATCTAAACCAAATGAAATTGCCAAATAAGGCAACAATTAGTTACACTTTGAGTAAATGTCACTGCTAAAAAAGTGTTAATTCTAGCTACCGACATTATATCTAACATTTTTTGCTTCAATTTGTCAGGTATAACCTCACTAATACTACCTTAATATTAATTACAATTAAACAGTTAATCAGCCATTAATTACACATAAATACAAATGCAACTAACAATACCTTTGTAATTTGTCAAACATTCGTTTTCGAAATGTGACAACCACCAAGGCCTAATGTACTACAAAATAAGACCTATTCTCATACACATTGACACATAAAAAAATTATCTAAACCATTTTCTCCTAGCCATATCCATTTAATTCAAATCATTATGGCTAATTTTCTTGTTTTCACATTCTACATTGTTTTGGTTTTGAGCCTAGCAAATGGTTATATCAATGGCGTTGATGCGGGTCGCCCTTTCTTCGTGTTTGGAGATTCACTCGTCGATAATGGCAACAACAATTTCTTGGCCACCTTGGCTCGAGCCGATGCTCCGCCTTATGGAATTGATTATCCGACTGGCAGGCCCACCGGACGTTTTTCTAATGGCTTAAACATTCCTGATTTAATCAGTTGAGTAAATTAATTAATTTAATTAGTTTTTTATATGTTCATTGTTGTGTTTTGTAAATTAATTAACTCGTATATATTTTCGATATTTAAAGGTAAAGAACTTGGATCAGAACCCACATTGCCATATTTAAGTCCTAAACTCAGAGGGGAAAAATTGCTTGTTGGTGCCAACTTTGCTTCTGCTGGTGTTGGAATTCTCAATGACACTGGATTTCAATTTGTACGTCAAAATTACAAATTTTGTCGCATTAATTTAAAATTTGAATATATATAGTTTTACTATATATATCATCATGTCTTTTGCAGATAGAACTAATCAGAATGCACAAACAGTTAGATCATTTTGAAGAATACCAGAAAAAGTTAAGTGTTATAATTGGAGATGAAAAGGCTATAAGATTAGTAAATGGAGCATTAGTACTAATCTCATGTGGTGGTAATGATTTTGTCAATAACTACTACTTGATGTCTAACTCCCTAAGATCCCGCCAGTATGATTTACCAAAGTTCGTCAACTATCTGATCACCGAGTATAAGAAAATTTTACTGGTAATTTTCAAAATATATATCATTTGTATAAGTTTGTTCTTTAAAAAATCATAATGTGACAAAATTTTATGGGATTATATTAGAGACTATATGATCTTGGAGCGCGTAGGGTGATTGTAACAGGAACTGGCCCAATGGGCTGTGTTCCAGCTGAACTAGCCCTTCGAGGAGGTCCGAATGACGAATGCTCAGCTGAGTTAGAGCGCGCTGCGTCCTTATATAATTCGCAACTTTTTAAGATGATCGTGGAACTCAACCGAGAAAAAGGTTCTGATGTCTTCTTCATTGTTAGGATGGATGAGAAGGGCGATTTTCAAACTGGTATATGAATATATTTTTAGAACAGGTTATTTTTGGCATTGAAAAGTTGTTTTTTTTAACTGAAGTAGTGAAATTGTGAATGTAGAATTTGTTGAAACAAAAGAAGCATGTTGTGGTCAAGGACCCTATAATGGAATTGGATTATGCACATTGGCATCAAACATATGTCAAAACCGTGAAGACTATTTGTTTTGGGATTCATTCCATCCATCAGAAAAAGCCAACAAGTTGATTGTTGAGAAAATTATGACAGCTTCCACAGAATTCATATATCCTATGAATCTCAGTACCATTTTGGCTTTGGATTCCAAGAACAACAATACTATCTAGCTAAACCACCCAAAAATTTTTTAATGATGTATGTCTAATTTGTTTTGTTATATATATGGGAACTTAATAAATAACTATTGTTATATATGAACTTAATAAATAACTATTGTTATATATCTTATATATGTTGTTTGTGTTGAATAATGAATGTCATTTCTTACAAAATAAATGTTTTTTCTTTTGCCCTCAATTCTAAGTTTACTTTGATAGTAAATCATTTCGTCTAGACCGAAGGAACTTGACGTTACTTCATCAGAAAAAAGATCACTCAAAAAAAATTCTTATGGATTAAAAGAATTTAATGTTTTTTCATATGATGGAAGATCACTTTATGCAAAAAATAAATTCTCTTGATCGAAGGAGCAGCACCTCGCTTCATCTAGAGGAATATAATACGAGTTGTTCTAGATGGTGGAAGATGAAAACATGTAAAGTATGTTTTCACGAATTCAAGTCTTAGTTTCTAGATTAAAAGCTCTTCAGAAAAGCTCCGCAATAGCTAATCACATGAGGAAGATTCTAAGGAGTCTACCAAAAAGATTGTGATCCAAAGTTAAAGAGGATAAAGATGAACCAAGGAAGAAGTCAAAGTCTGTGGAACTATAATTGATCAGAGAATGGTAGTTGCGATTAGCAACGGTCGACTTGAGCCTTCTACACAGTGAAGAGGAATTGACATGTAAGTTTAGCACTTCAACGATCAAGTCAGTGAAAGAGAAGAGTGAATAAAAATTAAATTTGAAATTGTGTCCATGAAATTCGAGTGTTGCCACTTATATAATGGAGTGGTTTTAACAACCTGTTATTCTCCAAGTGTGTGATGCGAGGGACCGTTGAATGTATTCGAGCTCTGGGTCTCATATACTCTTCCACAAGATAGTCCCTCTGTGCTATGAGCAATTTGAGCGAATCATTATTTCCTTTGGGGCCCGGTCGATGGCCAAACTGGCTAGTTTATAATAGTTGCCCTCAAGCCCTCGTCTTTGTTTGACAACGTAAGGATTTGTCGTACTTGCCTCATCCGTCTCAGTCTTTTCTTTCGCACCTTTAACGTGCCTCATGCTTGAGATTTCTTTTCGTAGGTCTCATCATAATGATCTTTGGAAATTGAAACACTCTAGTGCCTTACTTAGGCGATGTGGAACGTTGATAGTGTTCATTACTTTTAGAAACTTATCAAATCATTCTTGAAGAGTCGATTTTACACTTTCTTGAGGTGTTATCTTTGCTTCTTTGTTATCTACATTTTCTACAATGTCTTTCCTCTTTGCACTTGAAGAAAGTAACGTCCATCACTAGTAAAAAAAAAGAAGATACTCTCACCTCTTGGGTTGACTTGTCTCTTCATCAACTGTTTATGCCTTTGTTCGAGAGGATGGTCTTGACGGAGCCTTTTTGGGCGTAGGTCCATCTTTAGATTGGGGCATATTAACCCCTGATGAAGAAAAGAAAATTTGTAGCGTGTATGACGAATGTGTCATTCCTTTCTATAAATGTACTTTCTCAATCATGGGTTTTCGATTGCCCTTTAACAACTTTGAAATAGAAATTTTGAATCACTTGATGGTTTCCCCCTTGCAACTATTTTCTACGAGTTGGCATATATTAACATTTTCCAACACTTATTTGAATACAAAAGGGGAAACCCTTGATGTCCCCTTTTCTTCCATCTATTTAAAGTACATCGTATTTATGGGGCCCAAGCATTGGGCCACAGTTTGAATAATTGGGTGCAAGTTGTTTGAAGCTTCAAAACATTTTAGGAGGGCCTCAAGCATTTCCAAAATAGAGTTTTCCTGGTTGTCCCTTTCCGTAAAGAGGCTCATGCAATAGTATGTACCGTAGGAACCTGGGTGAAAAACGGGTGTACTAGCATGTTTCCTGTGTACTAGAACAAATGTCATTTTCTTATAGGAAACAACTTGTACATCTACAAAAAAGACGATCTATCTCAGGAGGATCTTTATTGAAGAAGCATATGGTTAGTTTTGTCAAAGAGTTGGGTTATGTCGGGGCGCCACTCTTATGAACGAGGCTTCACAGAGATGTTTGAAACGACTTATTGAGATCCGCTTGCTACTGGATGCTTTCACCAAGGAGGAGAGGAAGGTCATTTTTGGCGAGTTTCATATGTATTTTACTCCCTTGTCATGAATTTTTTTTATCTGTAATGAGCTTACTTTGGTAATCATTATTTTCATACTCGATGAAGAATGAGGAAAATATCCTCCTACTAAGACGGGGAATCCAACCCACCTCACGGTTATGGGCCCTTCGAATATTTCGAAGTTGGTTGATGCTCCTTCCTCTTCCAGGTTTGTCGAAGGTGTTGGAAATGATCCCTGATGATCATTGCATGCATCTGGTCTTCCAACTCATATGCAATTAGCAAGGTCGAGTCCATGCACTCCAAAATAACATCAGGCGTCTACCTCGGAAGAAGATTGTTCTTATTTGGCCAACCTGAAAATGGAGGCTCTTAAGGAGGAACTTTCAAATTTGGCGTACTATACCTGATGTGCTTCTGTTGTGCTGGCCATTGGTAGGGATCTTTTTTATGTTTTCCTATTTGAACAACAACCCGAGAAAAAGAAACACCTGGAGGAAAGTATTTGTATCCTGACACTCCAGCTGGGATATCTACCTGCAAGAAATATGTCAAGCTTTTATTTCTCATATAGTGGTAAGTGATGCCTTAAGTGCCCTCAACCTCCTTGGCTCATTAGTCGACCAAGTAACCCTTTTGGTGAGAGGTGTAACAAAGAAGGATAAAGCTCTGGCTTTTGGTTGGGCTACTTTATCTGCTATGCATGCATCCCTTTATTCCACTAGGGGAGACCTTAAAAGTCTACACCTTGAGAAAGCCTTATTGGCTCGAAATTTGGACGAATCATTCGCTGCTAGTAAGTTAGTTGTTTAGGATTTGAAGACAAGCTTCTCTATGATGATTATATTTTGACAAAGACAAAACTCTTAGTGGAAAGAATCCAAAGATGAACTTCAAAGATAAAACATCGTGATTCAAGTCTTTAATTCAAGCAATTTTATTTCAAGAAGGTACATTGACAATGCTTACCTTCTCTAAATGTATTAGATGCTCAATTAAATCAAACTTTCATTGTATAACATATTCATGAGCATGACACAAATTTTTAGGCATATTTTTCAACTTTTTAACTATGCAAATTGATTTTCATATGTGTGCAATTGATTTGCCTCTAAAGCATGCCAAAATTCCAGTAAAAAAATCATTTTTTAACTATGTAAATCGATTTACATATAATGCAAATCGATTGCATGCCTTCAATTTTTTTTTGAAAAATGTTAACGTGCCTTTGTGCAATCGATTTGCATCTTAGTGCAATCAATTTGCACCTGTGAGAATTTGAAAAATCAATAGCTTTTTCAACACTTCTTTATGCACCACTTCATGGAATCTTTTCATTTTAAATTGGAATTTGTTCATGGTATTTTTACATAACTTTACCATGTTTCATAGAGGTGTTATGCACTTACAAATACATGAAACTTCAAATAATAGTTTACCTCTTCCAATAAAAATATCTCTTAAATTTTCAGAATTCTTAATTAAAGTTTTCAACTTTTATTCAAGTTATTTTCTGCATATTCTCACATCATCTAAATCAGAAAATACTTGAGCAATCTAATACATTAGTATTTGTAAATCATTGTCATTAGAAGGGAAGATCAGTTACATTGATGCATCACTCAAAGTGATAATTATCCTACAATCTTATATACTCAAAAAATCTTGTTGTATTCATATCTTATTTTTCCAGGATTGTTGGAATTAATAATATTTTGTTTGTATTACTTGTTTTTCCAGGATTGTTGGAATCGAGTGTTTGCAAAAAAAGAGATGATTGTTTTATTTTCTTGTGGTGTAAGTTTTCAAGAGGATTGTTCTTGATAACTTGGTTAGAATCTTGCTTAGGATGATCTAACATTAATAAATTCTCTTACATGTTGTAAGGGGACTAGACATACCTTCAGACTATGAAGGGAACTAGGATACATCCTCGTGCTCTTTACTTTTCGCACTTTATCGCTTTCATCATCTAATAAAACCAGAAAAGAAAGAACATATTCTCATAAAAACCTAATAAAACTTTATAGTGCCTAATTCACCCCAACTTAGATGCACTCGTTACTTACAATTGGCATCAGAGCATGTTATCAGTAACTTGTTCGTAAAGATCCAAAATGACTTCCATAAATACAAATCCAGTTTTTAGAGACGGTGGTAGCAATAACAAGCCTCCATTTTTTTGTGATGAATACTTTGATTTCTGAAAATTCGTATGAAAGCTCACTTAGAAGCACAAGGAGAGGAAATATGGGATGTTGTCCAAAATGGTCTGTATCTTCTTACATGTGTTGTCAACAATGTTGGAACGGGAAAGCCTAAAGGTTCATGGGATGAAGATGATAAGAAAAATGTCTTCTATGACAAGAAGGTAATTAATATTCTTCAAGGTGCACTTAGTATAGACGAATTCTTTCGTATTTTGATATGCACAACAAAAAAGGAAATATGGGATACATTGGTGGAAACACATTAAGGAACCACTGAAGTTAAAATATCTAGATTGAACATGTTAAGTCAAGAGTACGAGTTATTCAAAATGCAGCCCGAAGAATCAATCCCTAACTTACAGAAAAGATTTGTGCATTTGAAAACCATTTAAAGGCCCTTGGTAAGACTCTTACTAATGATGAACTTAATCTTAAAGTGCTTAGATCTTTAACCAGGGAATGACAACCAAAAGTGACCGCAATATGCGAAAATAAAAGTCTATCCACAATGACTTCCGCAATGTTACTTGGAAAATTTCAAGAATATGAAATGGAACTTGGAAGACTGGAAAATCATGAAAGTCAAGAGAAGAAATCCAAAATTATTTCATTAAAGGTTGACTACAAGAAAATTGAAAAAGGAGATAATCCAGAAGATGGTGAGAACTTGATGCTTCTTGTAA